TTTTATACACATATTTGTAAGAAGGAATGAGAGATAAACTATGCAGACTCATACTGTGTTCTGCATGTACATCCACACATTTGGTTTTAAATGGAAAGACCTTTAAAGTCCTGTTTCAGCCCATACTCCCCCACCTCCTTCATCACCCTAGTTTTAAACTTTACCTTCAATATGCTGTGTTTATCATTCTTAAAATGCAATAACACTAAGTCGTTTGGAGCTTGCATGATAAGATAAATTACAGAGAAAACACAGGTTCTGGTTTATTATGCTGAAGCTGTGAAGCCATGAATACAGACACGGCTAGCAGTCATCTTGCTTTATTCTTCTTCTAACAACTTACTAACAGTGTGTAAATATAAAAGCAAACTTTGATTTTTCCATCAGAGTTCTCTGAAACGGAGACTGGAGCGCATTTAACATTGTGACCAGAAATATTGAAATTTGACAGCTGAGAGGTTAAAGGTCTCAAATTTATACATCGAGGTGTTTGTTCCTGTCATCCCCCCAGCAGCTTGCTCCGAATAACCCCTTTTGCTTACTGAACCTTTGAGAAACAGAGAACATTAAGTAATACATCTTGGCAGACATCCTGGGATTCTACTCCCACCAGGAAGGAAGCCATCCTTAAGCATCACTAAAAGAATTCTGTGGCTATTAAAAGGACATCCGTGCAACCTGGGTGTTTAACTATACTGCGCAGAAACATTTATTGTGTGGGCCCCCACTCCAAAAATGTCAGCCTGTAATCTGGGACTTTGTGCTTGGTTCTTCACAAACCTTTCATCTGACACTTCCTTCTACCAAAATTTTATTTGCTGATAACATGGAAAACGACCACTTGAGCTCTTCCTGAAAACAATGGGAATACTACCTCCCTCTGGCAAAATTTCTTTTGAGCACAAATACTCCCTTTGTTTCACTGCCAATTTCAGTACTGCCCCTCCCTTCTGGCAACTCTCCCAGCATCCCTACTCCCCAGGTACCCAGACTGCCCAGTCCTCCCCCTGCCCATTCAAACTAGCAGCCAGTCAGAATCCACAGTGGATTTTGAGAAGATCTGGGTTCACCTCGAAGCCTGGACTCTCTAAATGTATATATCTAATAGCTAATTTGAACATTCTGTTTTCTCAAACAAGACAGTAGCAAACTATAACAAGAGTTAATACTAAAGGAACAAGCAGACAATTGTCATTATCACATCTCACATACACGATGTAGTTATCTAGTCTTATGTAAAATGTAGCTCATGAATTACTTTATTTCTTCTTTGAAACAACCCCATTAAGCCTATGCCATTTTATCCCCTCTCCCTTTTTTTAACGACGAAATGACCAAGATTGTTTTTAAGCTGCCTTAAAATAAAAATTCTGGGTGGTCTCTTAGGCTCATGTACCAGAGATATGACTGGTTTCCACAGCAAAAGGTACACTCTCTAAATTTCATAAATTTATGAGATTACTTGCAAATCATTGAAGCTTAGAATAGTAAATCCTGGAATACCAGGGGTTTGCCTCAAACCCATTCTTAGTAAAAGTATACTTCACTGATAGGTTAAGGTCTTACCCCTCCCAGGGATATTTTTCTTCTAATAGTATCTTAAACCAGGGGGATTCATAGTCAAAGATTGAATGTCAGCCAGCACCTTTCTGTGAGAAAGGAGAGATACTCTTGTGCCTCTTCAAACTATGTTATATCAAATAACCATTTCTCTTTGTACAAGGTTCCACCTGGTTGAAGTAAAACAAAACAAGCAAGCCAGACTGAACGCTGCCTTATCCCAGCTTCCAGGTTTTTTTAAGAAAGAAAGGACATAAAAACCATAATTGAACAGTATGAAAATGAAACGTATTTATTTTTCATGCATTGATGTTACTTAAGAGTTCCCCAATTAATGCTGTGAGGGCAAGAAAAAACTTCAAACATTCCCTGCAGCTAGTGGCTCTCAAACTTGAGCTTGCATCAGAATGACCTGGAGTGACTGTTAAAACACAGATTGCTGGGCCCTAAATCACAGCTCCTGATTTTGCTTTTCTAGCAAGTTCCCAAGTAACACTGATGCTGCTGATCCAGGGACCGCATTTTGAGAACCACTGCTTCTTGTTAGCTCATGGAAACAAAGTTCTCAGTTTCCCTAGGTGTCTGGGGATCGGTCAGGGAGCTATTTGAGGTTTATTTCTAGCACTGATTCTTAGAGTAGCTCAAGCTGAGGCTTCAGCTGAGATTTGTAGGATGGGTGGGAGTCGGTACAGCCAAGAGACCTTGAGAAGAGCTGCCCACCAGTGAAGGGTTGGAGTGACTGGCACTGCAGACTCAGACTGGGCAAGCCTCAGCTGGAAGGCTGAGCTGGAGCTCCCTCAGGGAGGTGGGCAGTCAGATAAACACCAGGACAGGGAGAGAATTCTGCTGCTCAGATACACAACCTCTGAAACAGTCGTCAAGGCTGGGCAGAGGACAGTGCCCACGGGTACCACAAACACACACCCATACACCTCAGGAACAGCACCAGAGTGAGTAGATGGAAATGTTCCCTTTGGGTGAGCCCAAATCCAGGTTGGGCAATTTATTGCCCTCCAAAGAAATTGAAATTGACATGAACTCCCCCAAACCTAAGTAGAAACATAAGATGAAAGGGAAATAAAATGCTACAAATAAATAGGTATTTTATGTGTCTGCCATGAAACACCTGCATAAAAGAGAAAAGGGAAGAAAATCTATTTTACACCCCAAATCTAAAGATTTTACATTCCTTTCAAGTTTTTATACTAGGGCCTAGACTCGGAATTTTATATATGTTGCCCACTCTTTACAGCTCTCTGGTAGAATAAATGCAAGAGGAAAAAACAGGAGAGATGAGTTACCACATTGCCCCTTCCTCACATTTTGTGAAAATTATCTTTTCTAAGACTCACAAAAGCCTCAATCTCTGCATGAGTTATTAGGACAGCTTTAGAAGCCATGGCTTTTGGGGGCCTTTCTGCATGGTATCTGGGCTCAAGCTTTTCTTAGCTCATACACAGGTACCAGATTTATGACTGCTCATGGTCAAAAAAGAAGCATGGCTGTACTACATGAGGTTTAGAATGATCTTGAATGACTCTTTTGCCTCCATTGTGTACTCCAAATGTTAAAGAATGCTGCATGAATAGTTTCAGCAGTCATGAAAGTTATCTCCTAGTTCCCATCTAAGAACAACAAGCTAATAAGCTAATTGACACCTTAACATCAGCTGTGCCCTATTCGTGGAATGACAGCCCATCTGTCAGGTCCCTTCCCAAAAAAGCACATTGTCTGGTGATGCTCACACATCACAGCTTCTTTCGGCCGCGCATTTTCCCTCAAGCCTTAAAACCTGTTATTAAGGCAGACTTCAGCCCCATGTAAGTGACTTGCAACCAAGCCTCTCACTAATGAATATTAAATCCCTTGGGGCAGCGAAGTCCTTCTGCTTTCCCTACAGATAGGGTAAGACAAGATGCCATTTTTTTCCTTTGGCAACCTAATGAATCTCTAACTGTTGATTTGTTTCCGTTTTCAGTCTAGAATAAACAAAAAGGCTTACAGCCTCCTTCCATGGTCGCCTGAGCTCACCAACCACCATGCAAAGGCAGCAATTTTTCATTATTGATAAAATGTAATGTCATAATGTCACGGCCTTTCAGGTCATCATCTTTGTAAGTCAGCAATGACATTATCACATTTTATAATGATAACAAATGGCCATAATGTTTGCATGTTATTTTCATTGGCTCCTCCAGAATTCTAATTCAACACCATCAACAGAAGAAACTCAACAGCAACTTCAAAGGTCTACCTCCTTAGATATGCTCAAGACTAATAGTAAAATTTGCATAAATCAAAGCTAATTAAAAGCATAAGGGCCATTCTCCCCCCATTGACTAAATGCCTCACTTTTAGATGGAATTTTTGCAGAATGTATTTTTACTGTTGGATTTTGGCATGTAAATGCATTAAATATATCTATTTGCTATTCATTCATGAACTCTCACTAACCCCTTTCTGTCCCATTCATGCCTGTGCTTCTCTAATCTATCTAGTGATTTTTGAGTGCTGCATTCTGCCAGTTTCATGATAATCATAGAACACTAATTGGTCTAAATGATAAGAATCATTCATGGGGCACTTATTTTTACATATTAGCCTTCTGACTCCCCTCCTTGCTGAACAAGTAAAAATATTTTATTGTTTAAGCCCAGAACTCAAACAAGCACTCTTCAGGAAGCAATTTTTTTGGTTCATCAACAATGCAGAGTAATGAGAAAGAGAATCAAGTGATAACAAATTCACACCCCAGTACTAAGTACACTAAATCTAAAAAAGACTTGCAAGACTTCAGGAAATTTTTTACCTGTAGCACTTCACAAAGAAAGAAAAGGAGAGGAGAAAGGAAATTATCATTTGCTGAACTCTGCACTGGTGTATCTCATCTAATCTTCAATGACCCCTAAGAGATAAGGGTCACTGCTTTTAAAAGAGGAGGAAACTGAGGCTCAGGGAGTCTAGGCAGCTAATGAGTCACAAAAGCAGTGATCAAACTTCACACCTGTAACTTCAAAGCTCATGAATCTTCCATTGCACAAAACTCCAAAAGTAGGTATTCCACTACCGTAGAAGGAAGAATCAAATCTTCTGATCAACCTGAAATAAAATTATATATTTAGGAAAACAAAAGATGTGAGTAGATTTCAGATGCAGAAAATATTTATCTTGCCATTAATACATCCAGTTAGACTGCTGTGGTACCATATGCCCAGAGTAGGCACATCTTAATTGAGTTAATGACTTCCATTCATCTGTGTGATTCTTCATTGATGTATTTTCCACATTATTCAGTAAGTTTCACTATTGTCATTGAAAACTTGGCTGAATTAGGCAGTTTCATCAGATTTGTAGATCAGCAGCCCTTTAGCTGATACAATAAAACCATGTAAGAGTATATAATGCTTTTTTGCTATGGGTTTGCTGCCAGAACATGAAAACTACCCCCTAAAAGCCAAAATGGGAAAGGAAAAGACTCATATCAACATTGTCATCACTGGACATGTAGATTCGAGCAAGTCCACCACTACTGGCCATCTGATCTACAAATGTGGTGGCATCGACAAAAGAACCATTGAAAAATTTGAGAAGGCGGCTGCTGAGATGGGAAAGGGCTCCTTCAAGTAGGCCTGGGTCTTGGATAAAGTAAAAACTGAGGGTGAACGTGGTATCACCATTGATAGCTCCTTGTGGAAATTTGAGACCAGAAAGTACTACGTGACTATCACTGATGCCCAGGACACAGAGACTTCATCAAAAACATGATTACAGGGACATTTCGGGCTGACTGTGCTGTCAGGATTGTTGCTGCTGGTGTTGGTGAGTTTGAAGCTGGTATCTCCAAGAATGGGCAGACCCAAGAGGATGCCCTTCTGGCTTACACACTGGGCATGAAACAATTAATTGTTGATGTTAACAAAATGGATTCCACCGAACCACCCCACAGCCAGAAGAAATATGAGGAAGTCATTAAGGAAGTCAGCACTTGCATTAAGAAAATTGGCTAAACCCCGACACAAGAGCATTCCTGCCAATTTCTGGTTGGAATGGTGACAACATGCTGGAGCCAAATGCTATCATGCCTTGGTTCAAGGGATGGAAATGCCATAAGGATGGCAATGCCAGTGGAGCCACGCTGCTTGGGGCTCTGGACTGCATCCTACCACCAACCCATCCAACTGACAAGCCCTTGGGCATATACCTCTCCAGAATGTCTACAAAATTGGTGGTATCGGTACTGTTCCTGTTGGCCAAGTGAGGACCTGGTATGGTGGTCACCTGTGCTCCAGTTAGCATCACAACTAAAGTAAAATCTGTCAAAATGCACCATGAAGCTTTGAGTGAAGCTCTTCCTGGGGATAATGTGGGCTTCAATGTTGAGAAAGGATTATAAATCATTCTATTATAAGAACACATGCACACAAATGTTCATTGCGGCACTGTTTACAATAGCAAAGACTTGAAACCAACCCAAATACCCATCGATGATAGACTGGGCAGGGAAAATGTGGCACATATACCCCATGGAATACTATACAGCCATAAAAAATGATGAGTTCGTGTCCTTTGTAGGGACATGGATGAAACTGGAAACCATCATTCTCAGCAAACTGACATAAGAACAGAAAATCAAATACCGCATGTTCTCACTCATAGGCAGGTGTTGAACAACGAGAACACATGGACACAGGGAGAGAAGCATCACACACTGGGGTCTGTATGGGGGGACTAGAGGAGGGGCAGCAGGTGGTGGAGAGTTGGGGAGGGATAATATGGGGAGAAATGTCAGATATAGGTGATGGGGAGGAAGGCAGCAAACCACATTGCCATGTATGTACCTATGCAACAATCTTGCATGTTCTTCACATGTACCCCAAAACCTAAAACGCAATAAAATATATATTAAAAAAAAAGAATGTGTCTGTCAAGGATGTTCATCATGGCAACATTGCTTGTGACAGCAATGACCCACCAATGGAAGCAGCTGACTTCACTGCTCAGATGATTATCCTAGACCATCCAGGCCAAATCAGTGCTTGACTATGCCCCTGTACTGGATTGCCACATGACTCACACTGCATGCAAGTTTGCTGAGCTGAAGGAAAAGATTGATGGCTGTTCTGGTAAAAAGCTGGAAGATGGCCCAAAATTCTTGAATTCTTGCTGCCATCATTGATATAGTTCCTGGAAAGCCCACGTGTGTTTAGAGCTTCTCAGACTATCTACCTCTGGGTCACTCTGCTGTTCATGATGTGAAACAAACAGTTGCCATAGGTGTCATCAAAGGAGTGGACAAGAAGGCTGTTGGAGCTGGCAAGGTCACCAAGTCTGCCCAGAAAGCTCAGAAGGCTAAATGAATATTATCCCTAATACCTGCCACCCCGGTCTTAAACAGTGGTGGACGAACAGTCTCAGAACTGTTTGTTTGAATTGGCCATTTAAGTTTAGTAGTAAAAGACTGGTTAATGATAACAATGCATCATAAAACCGGCAGAAGGAAAAGAGGATGTTTTATGGATCACTTTGGCTTTCTTTTTTTGCGAGTGGCAGTTTTAAGTTATTAGTTTTTAAAATAAGTACTTTTTTTTTTTGAGACGGAGTTTTCTCTTGTTACCCAGGCTGGAGTGCAATGGCGCGATCTCGGCTCACCACAACCTCCACCTCCTGGGTTCAGGCAATTCTCCTGCCTCAGCCTCCTGAGTAGCTGGGATTACAGGCACGCACCAACGTGCCCAGCTAATTTTTTGTATTTTTAATAGAGACGGGGTTTCACCATGTTGACCAGGATGGTCTCGATATCTTGACCTCGTGATCCACCCGCCTCAGCCTCCCAAAGTGCTGGGATTACAAAAATCAGTACTTTTCAATGAAAACAACTTGACCAAAAATTTCTCACAGAATTGTGAGACCCATTTAAAAAGTTTAATGAGAAAAAAAAGAGAGTATATAATGGTGTTGGTATGAGAGCTTCCCAAGCCTGTTCTAATCAATCAGAGGTGGTACTTATACCACTTCCACTTAAAATAACAAACATTTCTACAAGGACTTCCCTGCTCTCAAAGCACTATTCATTATGCTATTGTATATATCCTCACAGCAAAATCATGTTCAGGTAAGGAAACTACTTAACTTGCCCAAGTTCATAAACACACCAAGTGGCAAAAATAAAATTCCAACAGAAGTCTTCCAGCTCAACTGCCTATACTCATTCCATTCCACCAAAGCCTTTAGTATATTTAAGGCAAGTGATTTCTAAAAGCAATGCACCAATATTCAGGGAAAGATCAGCCCTCCCTTGAAGGGGCAGACCAGGCAAACATCCAGGCCTCATAACAAGTGAAGATTTCTGGAAATGGAATGCTGGTATCGAGGAAGGTAGAGGAAGGATTTTTGGACAATGAAGTTTAAGAATCTATTCTATCCATTAACTCACATGCACATGTTGAGGAAGGAAATAGGCTATTCCTCCTCATTCCTTCATTTGTTCATTCATTCAACACATATTTCTGAATACCCCCTCTAGGACAGTATTATGCAAACACTAAGTATACAACAGCAAATGAGACACACGTAGACCTGCCTTTGTGGAGTTCACATTTATGAAGATGAGTTGGACATTGAACAGCTAGTGTCACGACCAATCGTCTCACTATCGCCAATGTAAGTGAAAGCTAGTTGTAAGAATACAGTGCTACAGGAGGACTTGACCAGTGTGCCAGGGGACTAAAAAAGCCCTCTCTGAGACTGAGACACGTAATTTAATATTTGAGGCAAGAGTGAATAAAAATCACAAAGGAATTTTCCATTCTTCCCTCCATCCTCAAGGCTCCTACCTGCTTGGTTTCCCATGTTTTATTAGCCAAATGCCATGGCTAACAAAGCAGATGGCTAACACCGTGGGTACTAGCTGAACCATCCTTCAGCATTTGCCTGGTCTAACTCAGAGCCTATTTGGAGAGCTGTAAACATGTAACTTTGACAGGTTAGAGGCAGCCTGACTGACACGCCTGATGGTTTTCTTCCAAGTCAGATTTTAAATCACAGCTGGTCTGGCAGGTGCTGCAGTGACCACCCCTTTCCTTTTCCTGTCTCTGTATAATTCCTTGCGCTGAGCCAGACATGGCCTGTGCACATAAAGCCACACAAGACTCCACATCTCCTGACTTCTGTGTCCTCCCTTTTTTTTTTTGAGATGGAGTTCTGCTCTTGTTACCCAGGCTGGAGTGCAATGCCGCGATCTAGGCTCACCGCAACCTCCGCCTCCTGGGTTCAGGCAATTCTCCTGCCTCAGCTTCCTGAGTAGCTGGGATTACAGGCACGCGCCACCGTGCCCAGCTAATTTTTTGTATTTTTAGTAGAGACGGGGTTTCACCATGTTGACCAGGATGGTCTCGATCTCTTGACCTCGTGATCCACCCGCCTCGGGCTCCCAAAGTGCTGGGATTACAGGCGTGAGCCACCGCGCCCAGCCCCTCCCTTTTTTTTAACCTGTTTTTCTGTGCTTGGATATTGCTGTAGACTAAACTATGTACCCTAAACTTCCTGTGTTAAAGCCCTAACCCCAAAAGTGACTATATTTAGTGATGAGACATTTAGAGAGGTAATTAAGTTAAAATGAGGCCATAAGGGTGGGGCCCTGATCTGACAGATTAGTGTCCTGATAAGGAGAAACATCAAGGAGCAACCCCTTTACACTTTCTTACAGCGAAAGGACTTTGTGAGGACAGCAAGAAGACCCCCATGTGCAAGCCAGAAAGAGATCCTTTACTAGAACCAAGCCTGCCGACACCTTGATCTTAGACTTCTAGCCCCCGAAACTGTGAGAAAAAAAACTCTGTTGTTTAAGTGACCCAGTCTCCAGCGTTCTTTTGGAAGCCTCAGCTGACAAGAATACAGACAGGAAAACAGAAATCTGCCAGGCATAGCACATTCATAAAACGTGTTAATGGGACTGTATGTGAGTATTACAAAGGTAGTAATTGCACAACTTGTGTTCCTGGCTCTAGAGCCTGGGAAGAGGAGACGGCAGTCACTGGGGAAAAAATCAATGAGAGGATTATCCAGATAGGAAGAGATAACCTTCACAGGTCCCACTGCATCACTACAGGCAAATGACAGTTTTAGACATCTGTTCTTAAACCTTGTTTTCTGAGTTATCTTTACCATATTCTATATATTCCAAGAAGGCCCTTTCTGAATAATTTTGGAATGGTTTATATAACAAAGAGCTGCAGCCATCTAGTTCCTGGGAGGATACTCCTCATCTGAAGACAGACAGCAGAGTCATTGTTTGCCAATAAGGGATTAATATGGAGAGAGAAGAAGCTTTAAATAAAATATTTTGATAAGGTTTTGGGGATTTGCCAAATTTCATGGAGCTCGATATTCTTGGTAGCCACAGAAATATCAGATATAGCTATTCTCCTGTCTTTGATTGTAGGAGCATTTGAGGGAAAGTGTCCAAATCATCCAAGTTTATCTGTAGCTATAGAAAAAAAAAATTAGTCTTGCCTTGAGACAAATTGGAAGCAGACAAAATTGTCTGCTTAGGATTAAATATTCCCCTTACAGAATATCTAATACTGAGTAACCTGAAGGAACAGGGTATTATATCAGTTAGTTATATTCAATAATTCTGTATAATAAACCACCCTAAAACTCAGTGACATTCAACAATATGCATTTTTATTTCTCACTCATAAATCAGCAGGTTAGCTAGGGCTTGGCTAATTTAGGCTGAACTCAGCTGCAGGTTGACACACTAACCATTTGATTTATTTGTTTATCTTTCATCTCCTCCCCTCAGTGGAGTGCAAGATACGTGAAGGTAGGAGATGTTATCTGTTTTGGTCACTGCTGTATACCCAGCAAAGTGCCTGGCACGTAGGGTGCCTTCAAAAATATGTATTCCAGGCCGGGCGCGGTGGCTCAAGCCTGTAATCCCAGCACTTTGGGAGGCTGAGGCGGGTGGATCACGAGGTCAACAGATCGAGACCATCCTGGTCAACATGGTGAAACCCCGTCTCTACTAAATATTACAAAAAATTAGCTGGGCACGGTGGCTCATGCCTGTAATCCCAGCTACTCAGGAGGCTGAGGCAGGAGAATTGCCTGAACCCAGGAGGCGGAGGTTGCGGTGAGCCGAGATTGCGCCATTGCACTCCAGCCTGGGTAACGAGCGAAACTCCGTCTCAAAAAAAAAAAAAAAAAAAATATGTATTCCACCTGTCTCCATCCTCCTTGGACAGAGTAGCTACTCAGACATATTCTCATCAAAACATCAGGAGCACAAGAAGACAAGTACAACTTTAAGCTTTTTCTTTAAGCTCTGATCAAAGCAAATCACACAACTAGGCCCAAGATCCAAGTGCAGGCAGGAAGGACACTACACCACCATGAGGCCAAAGCAAGTTATAGGGGCAAGACCGACACCAACAGCATGGGAAAATTTACTTCCCAGTGTGGGAAAGTGGGGGGGAGAGTGAATATTTGCTTTACTATAATCTAACTATCCACAGGGGTATTATTATCTGCATTTTATGGTTAGGAAAACAGATCACTAACCCAAACTGCAGAGCTAGGATGTGAACCCAAGCTTATATTTTTCCAAAGTTCATATTCTTTCCATTCTGCTACCCTCTAGGTAATAGAAGGGAAACTATAGGGAAACATTATCATAGTGGCAATAGGCGGTAATGGATTGAAGGGACATGGTCATAAACTAGTACAGGGTTGAGGGCTGGGGTGCCCAGTGGTGGAAACAACAGATAGAAGCAAGTCTAGCAAACACATGTTGATTTCATTCATTGAAAAAAATATATTTACTGAGCAGCCACAATGTACTAGGTGCTATGGTAGGCACTGGGGTGTGTCATCCTAGACAGGCATCTGTCAATGCTTGATGAAAATTGATGCAGTGAAACCAAGTTTTACAGGCTGTGCCAGTGTCCTCCCAGATCCTTTTGAGGGCATGTTCCCTTCTGCACACCTTGCCCTCTAATCCCACACTGCCAGACTGAACCCCCACCAAGACCTCCTCTACCCCCCAATCCCTCCTCCACCACCAGCCAGCTCAGCACCTATAAGCTGGCTGATACTATTTGGTATTACTATTTGTGCCAAATGATAAATAAAAACTTTATAATATATTAGATATAAATAGTTCTGCAAATCAATAAGAAATATGTAAGTACCCTACAGAAAAAGATCAATAAGATCATGACTACTCAATGAACAAAAGAAAATCATGAAAAAAAGTTTAACTCTAAGTGTTCATCAGCTAAGACCTAGAACCACAAGACCATTCTGACATGAAGCCCACACTGGAATAACTTCTTAAGCTATCCAGCATTTTCTACCCTAGAATTGACCCTCTCCACTACAGTTTTCATACCGTCTCTCCTGCCACCGCACTCTCACCCTTACAAATATACACATCCTAGGCTCTCCTGACTAAAATTTCTGCTAGTCTAACAACAGTC